GAACTGTTCAAAGCAGGGGACATCAACCCCAACCCTGGACCAACTATAATTGACAGTGACACCTCACAGAAATGTAAACAGTTGTACTACCCTCAACGGACAACATTCACTGGTTCAGAACTACACCGCTTAAAGAACATCACTGGTTATCAGCGACTTCCAAGTGATGTATATGACAAAGTGAAAGCCCTAGGTATTAGTTGCAAACCTCCAACTAAAAGGGGTACCAGGGGAGGTGTTAAGACGAAAGCCTGGTTAAGGAGTCAACTTTCTGGAACACGACTCGGATCAGTTGTTGATGGAAATGATGAAAGAAAGAAAGTTGCTCACTGTCCGATTCCAGTTCGTGTTCGGCCCCACACTCGAAATTCGTACACGCATGAAAGGCGGAATGGTGTTAACTTCGAGAATCTTAAACTTGTAGAGACTCTATCAAATGCTCCGTCACCTGTAGCACTTCATCTATGGAATGCCAGATCTGTGAGGAATAAAACCACTGAACTATATGACTATGTACTTCAAAATGATGTTGACATCATGGTCATTACAGAGACATGGCTCCGTGAAAGTGATCCTACTGTCATAACCGAATTGTCGCCACCCGATTTTTCCTTTCACAATGTTGCTCGTCATGGTGATGCTCATGGAGGTTTGGGTTTTCTGTTCAGAACTCACCTAGATCTCAGACTGAAGCAGATTGAATTTTCCCCTAAAACTTTTGAATTTGCCTGTGTTGTAGACAGGTGTGAACAGTATCGTATCATTGCCGTATATAGGCCTCCACCTTCTACGACTAATGGCTTTACAGTAAAGGCCTTTCTCGATGAGATTGATGAATTCTTAGGCTTATGTTCAATGTTGGGCAGTCGCGTCATCATTCTCGGGGACTTCAATGTACACGTTGATAAGGCACATCTACCGACCCCACGCCAGTTTCTGGAATCAGTCACTTCATCTGGTTTCTCCCAGCTCGTTGAAGAACCTACTCATGATGGTGATCACACGCTGGACTTGGTCATTACGAAGACTGGAGATGACATAGTCTGCAATTACAACGTCATTGACAAAGGCATGTCAGACCACTTTGTAGTGCGTTGCAATCTGAATATCCAGACACCCCCTTCGAGTACTGACAGAGTGCTTATCAAATCCAGAAACTATCGCCAGATTGACAGTGAGAAGTTTCTAGCTGATCTTTCATCACGTTTTGCGGATTTTCCGGAGAGTGATGTAAACGACATGCTGACTTCCTTGTATGGTGCTGTCCAGGGAGTGCTGAATCAACATTGCCCAGAAACGACGCGAAGACGGAAACAAAGACCATGTGCTCCGTGGTATGATGACAGTGTGATGGCAAGTCGACAACTAAAGAGAGCGCTGGAGTCAAAATGGAGAAAATCCAAACTTGTTTCGGATCGACAGAATTACATTAATCAAAAGAATAAGCTAAATGTTATCATTCAGAAAGCTAAGCGTAATTATTACACAAATGTTATTCTTGAGTCTAACTGCAGGAATATGTTTTCAACAGTCAGTTCATTACTGGGTCGTTCAAAGCATGTCCTCCCAGTGTCCGATGAACCGCTTCGCCTCTGCAATGATTTTGCCAATTTCTTTGAGGGCAAGGTTAGGAGTATCAGACGGTTACTTGATGCACATCCACCTAATCAGCAAACAGTGTGGACTGTTCCAGATCCGGATAATGTTCCTCCTCCTCTTGGTCCAGTAGCGGATGACGACTTACTGCTGGCTTTAACACCAGTCAGCGATGAAGATGTGAAGAGGGTCATAAAGAAGTCTGCAAACAAGTCCTGTGACCTGGATGTCATGCCAACCTGGCTGCTTAAAGCTAATTCAGAGGTAATGGTACCCGTTATCACGTCAATCATAAACTGCTCGTTAGTGAATGGAGTTTTCCCTGACAAACTTAAATATGCAATAGTTTTTCCTCACCTGAAAAAATCTTCGTTGGATTCTTCGGAACTTAAAAACTATAGGCCTGTATCTAATCTTGCTTACATATCCAAGGTGATTGAGCTCGTGGTGTCCTCAAAACTGACAGCCCATGTCGAAGAGCTTAGCTTACAAGATGAATTTCAGTCGGCATACAGGAGACATCATAGTACTGAATCTGCACTAACCCGTGTTAGAAATGATATTCTATGTGAAATTGATAAAAGGCGTGGTGTGATACTAGTTTTATTAGATTTAAGCGCAGCCTTCGATACCATTGACCACGGATTTTTGATTGATAGGCTTTCCTCAGAATTTGGAATACGTGACACGGCTCTGCAGTGGTTTCGGTCGTATCTTAACTGTCGGACCTATCGGGTTCGCATAGATAGCACTTACTCTGATGTTCATACTTTAGATTATGGAGTTCCACAAGGGTCCGTACTCGGCCCGCTCCTTTTTACGCTATACGTCAAACCTTTGGGAAGAATTATTAGTCGCTACGGTCTTAGATATCATATGTATGCTGACGACACACAAATATACACAAGTTTCAACCCCAAAAGTCTTGCAAATTTTCAAGAAGAAATAAGTAAACTGGAACAATGTATCTCTGAAATTAGTATATGGATGACCTTAAATAAACTCAAACTGAACGAAGGAAAGACGGAACTACTGCTGGCCATGTCACCAAAGCTTAGACATCACTTACCGCGTGATATAAGTATAAACATAGGAAATGGTAGAGTACAAATGTCTGACAATGTCAAAAACTTAGGTATTTTCTTTCAATCTTCAATGTCCATGTCTAAACAAATTACTGCTTTGTGTAAATCGCTTAACTTTCATTTGTACAATATCTCTAGAATCAAGAATCTGTTGACCTCTGATGCGTGCCATCATGTCGTAAGATCATTAATCCTCAGTAGAATAGACTATGCCAACTCTCTTCTTTTGAATGCTAATGTGACAGACATTCAAAGATTACAACGAATCCAAAATCGTGCTGCCCGGGTTGTTTTGGGAGGGAGCAGGTATGAATCAGCATCTCCTCTACTTAAGCAATTACACTGGTTAACCGTAAATAACAGAATCATATACAAAGTTTCCCTAATTGTCTACCAATGTTTGAATAATTGTGCACCAATGTATCTGTCTGTGCTTCTACATACTCCTCCTAGACTTCAATACAACCTCCGCTCTTCTAACGACCCCACGCTCCTCCGATTACCACGTATCAATTCAAGATCGGGGGAGTGTAGTTTCTTTTATTATGGCCCCAAAATTTGGAATACCCTCCCTTTCGACCTCCGTACCTCTCCCTCAGTTGAAATTTTCAAGAAAAAACTAAAAACGTACCTCTTCAATAAGTAAATTGTAATTCTAATATTTTTGTTTGTTATTATAATTACTCTTTTATACATGTATTATCTTGTGTTTACTATGTCATTATTTCTGTAAAGCGCTTCGAGCAATTCGTTGGATGTTGCGCTATATAAAAGACAATTGTATGTATGTATGGGAGAAAAATGTTGAATAACAACCGAGATACTGGTCAATACACATTGTCATGCAGATTCATGTTTTGAAAAAAGTGACCTCCCATAGACATAACACGCAAATATGACAAATTATGCATTGCCGCCTTTAATCGAATATTTTACTATGATGACGTCATCGTAATGATAATATATGACAAATTTCTGATAGAAAATTATCTCAGCTACAACATATTAAAATCTGGGTGAAAATCGATCACCGATACGTGAGATAATCTCAATTAAACAAAGACAAAAATGACGTCATCAACAAAATACATTTTTTGGAGTTTAGATGCCAATATTAAGACTTTGTTTCACTTTGTACGAGTCAGGGTGGTATGAAATCATATCTCCAACTCATGCTTTTTCCAACCATGATATAAAAATTGGGGGTCAATGGACTATCTGAAGAGCTATTTCGATTTTTAAAATGGGATGTTTTTGCCCATATATGCTATGTATTACAAGAGCTCGCACGCACGGACATTATCTTAAACGGACGCTCATTCCGTTATTAATGGGCAGAAAAAGGTGAACAATGTATCAAAATGCTTGAAAGAATGTGTCAGATATGATGACGGAAAAAATTGGCGATTTCATGTTGCCAAATGCCAGGACACGCGAAAACGCGCGCCCATGCGCGTGTGCGCGTTTTTTGCAAAATGCTTAAAATGGCCTGAAACGTATGCAAAATTAATTTGAGACGATTTGAAGCATTTTTATTTTTTGCGCGCGCGCTAACGCGCGGACGTACGCATGCGCACGCATTTTCTGACCTGAAACTGACCGGACGGATATTGACCCTAATCATGATAAATATAAATGAGAAATGCCTTTCCGTTATGAAGATATGATCATGAGTAAAAAGTACCCCAAAAAACACAAAATGGCGCCTGGATGACGTCATGAAGACTTGATGACCTTGAAAATGTTCCTGTCACGTCTTATGACAATGACCTATGACTATGCCAAAATTGAACGAAATTGACTAAACCGATCTTGAGTTATCGTCGGAACAAAAAAGTGGGAACAATAAATAAAAATAAAGAATAAATAAATAAAGAAGAAAGAAAATTCTCACGAAAACAATAGGTGATCTGTCGTTGACAGACCACCTAATTAAAATGTAGATTAGGAAAGGGAAGAGATGGTAATGGCCAAATGGGAAGTGTCGTGGTCGAGTGGTTTAAGGCATTTGACTGGAGATCCGAAGGTCGAGGGTTTGAATGCCTTCACGGCACTAATATCATTTGGCAAGATATTAACCTACACTTGCTACTCTCCACCCAGGTGTTAAAATGGGTACCCGGTAGGATGCGACCATCATTGTTGGTCAAAACAGTTTGAGCGTCAAGTAACTCCTGGCTGGAATGCTTCCCAGGAGTGGAGGTTGTGCACAGTGTGCACAATGACCGGGGTAATAGTATATCTGTAAAGTGCTAAGAGATGTCCGAGATGTATTAAGCACTATTAAAAGTTGAATATTACTATTATTAAATAAAACACTCATACATACATCACAATTGTGGATGAATTGCTCACCTTTGATTCTTTTCCTTTCCTTGCAAGTGTTGCAAAAAAACAATGATGGAATGCACCTTTAAGAGAAACTTCCTTCAAGGGTGGCATGGAGCATATCATCTCTCCCACATCAAGTGACATAGTAGGTCCACAATCTCTGTTAATATTGAGTTTAACCTGGATAAAATGACAAAGTGATAACTGATGGGATGCATAATATAGAAGTTTACTTGGATGTTAGTCATACATGCGTAGCCTACATGAGGGGTTGCCCTGGATGTTCTGCTAGAACTACAGAGAGTAAGAGGGGAAAGGAGATAAATAAAGGTACAGGCTGAAGAACTATTGCTATGACATTTCAGATCAAGTTCCTATTTTTGCGACCGCAGGAATATCTTATCTTTTAATAGTTCTGTAACGTATTGCCTCAGATTATGAAACAAAATCTTGGATTTAGCTCATGCTGCAGTCATAAGTATAAACCTTTAGGTCAGTCAGGAATCCCACGACTTTTACAAGCCGACCGTCAGTCTGATTATCAAAATATTTATGATTGGAATTGGAATTTCATTTTTCATTTTCCTAATATTTTCAGTTTTGTTAGGGTTACACCTCCTTTATGAACCCTTCCATAATTATACTGCGGTACGGTAAGAAAATTGCAAAAGACATAAAAGTAAAAACTTGTACAATGGATGAACTAATTTTGTTTATTCAACTATGATCAAACTTACCACATGTGGACCAATGAATGCATATCCGGCTACAGTGTGTGCTGTCATGTTTCTGTCCACGGTCAGCTCCTGTGATGAAACCCTGTCCTTTACCAAGGCTGCTGCATCTGGGTCCAGACTCTCAAATGCTACATCAACAATGAGATCTCTGTTTATGTATGATATTCCCTGTAGCATAGACTTCACTACATGGGTTGCAATATTTTTGTTCTGTGACACAGTGAAGTACAGGAGATACCTAAACTCCTCCTTCCTTGGCAGCACTACTTGCTCTATCAGCCTGCTGAATTCATTACGATCTGATTCATATAGAGAAGCAAGATGGACTCCAGCCATGTACTCCTGAAACAGTTTGTGAGGGAAGAAGATTGCAGACTGCAGGTACAGACTGCTCTTATCATATATAGATGACAATCTTTTTTCCTGAGACAACACCCCTACTCTGCAAGCTGTTTCCATGGAGTCTGAGCACTGTTCAAAATGATCTTCTTTGAACATGAGGGTGTTTTCTTGTAGCCCGATGAAAGCAACTTTGGCAACTGGTTCCATGAGCTTCTCAATTTGAGCAATATATGCTTTGAATGATGGGTTGTCTAAATCTGTGATCATTTTCTGAGCATAATGTACCCTCAGGAATTCAAACATTTCATCAAATATTTGAGAAAAAGTTTGAAATGACTTGAACTTTTCTCGTTTTTCATCACCAAGTTCTCTCCACATAAGACAGAGCATAGCTATGTAGATAGGATACGGGGCCATATTCTCAGATATGATGTCATTGTCTTTGGTTAATTGGATAAGCTGATCTGCTGTAGCCACATCATCTTCAAAGTACTTGTGAATGTAAACCTCCACATTCTCATTGCTAAAACCTTCCACATGCATGAAAGTATACAGTTTCCTTAGTTTATTATCCAATCTAATCTCTGTGACCTTCCATGGGCGACTTGTCACCAACACCGGGCAAGTTGCAAGTTCATCTGAACGAAGAATGTCTGTAAGTGCAATGCCCCCTCTCTCTGACGAAGTTCCACTTGCCTCTGCACTGTTGACTCTTGGCTGCGAAGTGGCACTCGTTTGGCTTGATGACTCAACAGACTTTGGCTGGTGACATTCTGACTTTGAACAAGCTTTCCTTTGCTGTACAACCTTGCCATCAAACTCATCTAATCCATCAAACGCAATGAATACATCTTTTGGATTTGAACGGATGTACTCCGTGATCTGGCAGGCTGTTGCTGGGTTGTCCTTGGAGAGATATGACTTGGCAATCTCACCGATCGTGTATTGCTTGGCTTCACGAAAAGGGACAACAAGTACCCACACAAACTTGTGGAGAACAGGACTGTCATTTACCCAGTCCCAGGCAATCTTAGCACAGAATGTTGTCTTTCCAGCCCCAGCCTCTCCTTGAATCATGATCCGCTTAGGGAACTCTCCATTGACTTTAAGATCAAAGAGATCCCTGTACTCAATTGGTCGCTTGCGTCCTCGATATTCCTCTTCCAGAACAAGGTTTGCGTACATGTCGTCAAATTGCACACTGGAATCAGGGTTAAGAGGATCAGCTCTGATCTTACAGAGAGTTGTCCGGTACTTAAATTTGAAATCATCTGCACATTTCTGGATCAGGTCAGGAGAAAGAGGTTGGGTCTGTGATCCTGGCATTGTAACAGGTGCACCTTTAAATTTAATAACATAAGTGTGATGATTTAACTTAATCTTCAAGATCACCATAATTTTTTTCTGAATATCAAAATTTCCATTTGAGGATAATCAAAACATACACATGAACACAAAAGCTAATTTCTATTGAATTTGTTGTTTTTCAACTACATTTTCATTCTTTTAATTATGTTGTTTGAAAGTGTTATCTGGACAAAGATTCAATGAGAACAGATGATAATTCATTGTCTTTTCATTTTTCTATACATAACACTATTGTGGATGCATGACATGTCTATGTTTGTTTTCTTTTCTTACTTCAAAATATCTCAATAGAATTTGTCTTTTTGATTGAATGTATATACTGTACATGTCTATTTACGTATCCATATACCATGTAAATATCACAAAATTTCATCGCTAATAGTATGGAAAATATTGATGAAACTTATAAATCATATGAATTACAGCTCAAAGAACATTTCCACATGATATACAAAGAACTTAATGAGAAATGTAATTTTCCTTTTTTTATTTGTACACAAAAATCAGATATTCTCCATTTTGGGACTGACATAAGGTCACCAAAGATAAAATGACTGTGTAATGGTACGATTTTCATAACTTGGTCAGAAAATGGCTGGGCTCAAATGCAAAGAAATTTGATTGACAATTCTTGTACAGCTTCATGTAAAACTAATTTCATAATCTACCTTGACACACCACAAAGTGAGCTGGTATGTAACCATGTATTAAAGGCCACAACTCATGCGACCAACAGCCCACAAGAACCTTCTGAAAAATTGTCAGAAGACCCACAAGACCAACAATAGAGTCACGGACTGACAGTCCACAAGACCACCGTGTCAGTCTTGTGGGTGTTCTGACAACTATTTTTTAGGGTTCACCAGACCGGCAGTATCAGTCTCGTGGGCTAGCTGTCCGTCTACTGGGATGTCCTATTTGGACTAAAAGAGAAAGAGACAAAACAGTGTTTGTTGGCTGCCTGCAAGAGCAATACATTATCAATGGCAGTAAAGGCCTGCTTGCAGGTAGCTGACACGATTTGTTTCTTATTTTCACCTGTCTTGTTCGGGACTAGACTGCCAGCGAGTACTTCGCTGGCGAGAGACCCTAAGTCACTTCTTTCTAATCCATCTGCAAGAAGAGCCCTGATGTCTGTGCCTGGAGGCTGTATGTCTCTCCATCTCGTGAACACTGTTATCAATGCATCACTGGTATTTAGGCTACGTTCCTTGATTTGACCAAGCTCTGCAATGGAGATCTTCAGGTGAATGCCCACCTCTTTGTAGTAGGCAGGTTCAATTAGCTTGGACAGCTTTAAGAATTCCTCCTCACTGACAATCCTGCAATAAAAACGCATTTCATCAAGGATCTAATATTAAAGTATCTCTGAAGTACAGGTATCTATTATGATGTTGTTATCCCAACTGTACATTCATTTAAGTACATATCTTCATACTTTGTAAGTTTAGTTCAGTTGCTGTTGAGCATTCAGGCAAAACAGACTGTACAGCTAACAACATGGAATAATAAACAACTCCAACTCCAAATATATAGTTGAGCACTTTCGGTACCTGCTGTTTCATGCGCAAAAAAGGTAAAGGTAAAGGTATATTGAAGCATACACCCAAGGCTTATACCTCATAGCAGTGCACTTGCATGAACATTATGCTTTAATAAGAAGAAAATGATAATAATAATACAGGTAATCCATTCTTTGTAGCTCATTGACTCATTACAAAGTATGTCCCTATGTGCTATTAATAATTATTATTCCTACTGCTCATTATTGTTGCAATAAAGAAAAGGAAATGAGCTTTGAACACATATATATATAAACTGACCTGTCTGGTCCAGGGTTGGTTTCAACATCACCAGATCTCATCAGGAGAATCATGAGCAGATAGAGAAGGCAGAATCCATCCATGGTGCAAGATGTCCTTCACATTCAACAGAAACTCAGCCCGCTGGAAAGGTACAGGGTGTACATAAATGGTAACCCCAGCAAGACATCCTGTAATTGACAAAAAGGGGAATTCTGCTTTTTAATATGCAAATTATTCATATTAGGGAATTTTAAATTTGCACGTCGCCAGCTTTGACTGCAACGTGTGACGTAATTTTAAGGCACTGCCCATGCGTCACGTCTTCTCAGTCGGCGATCAAGAATGCGCCAACCTTGATTTTCCTAAATGAAGTACGGTACTAGTATGCTGAGTGCACGCTTACACTATGAACATGACGGACAAAGAGGACAAAATATACAGTCCTCAGGTAGACAAAGGAACATCCCTAATTCCCTGCTATTATATTAAAATGTGTAGAACAGGTGTCACATGCATTCACCTCACTGTTCTACACATTTTTACATAATAGCAGTGAAGGGATGTTCTTTTGTCTACCACAGCAATTGTTGAGGGTAGAATGAGGAACTGTATATTTTGTTACTTTCTGCATGCATGTATATCGTCGAGTGAAATCTAAAAGATTTCAAATTGTAGTCAACATGGGCAGTGAGTACGCTGACACGCATGATCAGTCGGCGTTCGTCGTGTTCTCGTCCACTCAATCTAAACGTCCATATTAGCGAGTATAGTGAACTGACATGCATGCATGTACAGTGTACATAAAACGGTTCACTGCTTCACTTTTTTTGTTCATCTAAATATTTGCCTCTTGACTTGACTTGTGTGATTTCATAAAATGTTTAATTTAATTAAATGTATTGTGAAGACCTAAATACTGTAGCTTATATCTGAGGGGGGGGGGGGGGGGGGGGGAGGGGTGTCCCCATCTCTGCTCCAGAGAAACAAATATAACGGTTTATGAATTAAAGCTCATCCGCCCCTCCGATAGGACATTAAATGGAGGCCCTGTGTAGAGGAGAGTCACCACCTTTGCATGTTAAGAAACCACTGCACTATTGGTATGAGAGTAGGGGGAAACCCTGGTGTAGTGATCCACCTGCACACCCCCAATCAGTTATACCGGGAGGAGAGACCCAAGGGTTACAGTGATTCAGTTTGCTTTTTGCCTCCCAGACACAGATGACGCCAAATACTTAATAATAATAATAATGTTGGGATTATTCTGATTGTGTATAGTGTGTACATGTACAATGTACAAAGAAATAATATTATGGAAATTGACACACAGAGCACGGTGATGGTGATGCCGGATGCAGCTGTAGATGGAGGAATTTATAGATTTCAATGACAATGACAAAACACACTTCACCAGATTGGGGGGGGGGGGGGGAGGATGCTCCCCTAGGAATTCTTCATTATGTTATTCATTATTATTATTTTTTGCATTCGACAGCTGAGACTGTGCGTCGGTGTGCTTAACTGACCCCCAGTAATTTAAAGTCAGGTTTATAATTTAAAGGAAAATCCAACCTTATTCAATAACTGCTCTTACATCATGCAGAAGAATTGAAAAAGCTGATTAAATATAGCCGATGAAAAGAAGAGAAAAAGGCGATTAAATTTTTATGCTCAAGAGCAGGAGAAATGCGCTGAATAACACTCATACAGCGCATTATACTGAAGCAGCACAATTATGGAAGTGCCAGTCATAAAAAACATTTCCAGGGAGCCCCTAAGGCTAGCCTTTAGGGCTCCGTGGAAATGTTTTTTATGATATTATATTCCACGGAGCCTTAACCGGGTCCCATACCACCGCAATGGTGATGACCTCTGACTGGCACTTCGCAAATGTGCTGCTTCCGTATAATGCGCTGTATGAGTGTTATTCAGCGCATTATACGGAAGCAGCCAGTCAGAGGTCATCACCATTGTGTAGAGATCGTGAATTCACACGCTACATGTGAAAAGGGAGCTATAACAGTATAAGCTGTATCGGTCTGGTAAGAAAATTGCTTTTATTTCGTTATTTTTACCTCTGATTATGATATTCTGGGTGTAATTACGATTACAAGTCCAATTCATCAAGGCCACTGTCCAATATTGGTCGGGTGCGGGAAAGTGTGATTTTGGACACATTTTAGGTGTTGTTTACCTGCCTCTCTGCACGGTGGTATACCAGGTTAAGGCTCCGTGGCGTGGAATATATAAAAAACATTTCCACGGAGCCCTTTAATAAGGCTACCTAAGGCTAGCTAGTGTCTAACTCCGGGAAGCTCCAACGCCGGCGCGCAGCGTCGGAGCTTCGGTCAAACAGTCGTGGTGGCTTCGAAAAAAAAAAATGGGGCGACGTTATCGTTAAAATCTGCAAAGGGAGTACTTACAATTTTTACATCATAGGGTGCACGACTTCTCAGGGCATAACAATGATCACTTGAATTCATAATTTGAAGAAGTCTTCGATGGGAAAAAAGGGTTTTTCAGAGCACTACCCAAACGACTATTCCATGTTGCAGCGTCGATTCAAAATGGCGAAGAGACTGTACGCATGCGCGGCAGAGCCGCAGAAAGTATGAATATTCATGCTATCGAGTGCCGATCGCTCGAAATCGCTGAATATGCACGAGGTTGAGAAGGACTCTGTTTGTTCGAGTCGTGCATATTCAGCAATTTCGAGCGATCGGCACTCGATAGCATGAATATTCATACTTTCTGCGGCTCTGCCGAGCATGCGTACAGTCTCTTCGCCATTTTGAATCGACGCTGCAACATGGAATAGTCGTTTGGGTAGTGCTCTGAAAAACCCTTTTTTCCCATCGAAGACTTCTTCAAATTATGAATTCAAGTGATCATTGTTATGCCCTGAGAAGTCGTGCACCCTATGATGTAAAAATTGTAAGTACTCCCTTTGCAGATTTTAACGATAACGTCGCCCCATTTTTTTTTTTCGAAGCCACCACGACAGTTTGACCGAAGCTCCGACGCTGCGCGCCGGTGTTGGAGCTTCCCGGAGTTAGCTAGTGTCATGTGTTTTTTAATAAAATGAGCTGAACTGAACTGAACTGAATAACAATAAAGAGGAAATTGCCTAACAGAAGGTAAAACATGTTAGTTATGAGAAACGTATCCCCATACTTACCACTGCTTACCAATGTTCTGTGCCTATCGTGGTTTTGTATTTGGGGAATCACTCGTTCATCCGCATGCATGCACAAGCTTGTGTGCATATGCAGCGTCTAGCTAGTAGTAGAATGCTGAGTGGGGTGGTGGATGGGAAAGAAGGAAACAATTGGCATAGTCTGCAGCTTTAACTATACGGACTTGGAGCGAATGGTGGTTTCTAGCTGTTTCACGAAAGTGTCATTTCTGTCTACAGCCTGGGCCTTGGGCTGCTTGGATGATGGAAATCAAGATTTCTCGTTAAAAGTGTGAAACTTGCTGAAAATACGACATTGGGATTAGCTAGGATATCCCCTTAATGCCACGCCCTCTATCGTACTGGTGGGAGACTGATTACGTCATGGGAATCCCCTAAAATTTTACGGAATGGTAATGCGACGTGAGTTAAATAGATGTGAGAACATAAAGATCGACATGTTTGTTGTGGTCATTGAATGGTCACAATCTTAATTTCATTGTCTAATTCACACCGGATTGTCTTTTAGTGTGTGATTTTTACATGTATAGACTGATCTTTAGAAATCTAGCCAACTGATTGGTCGAAATTGGAGTCGTGATTTTAGCCATGCTGCCTGCCCGCCTATCGGTCAATAGTTTTTTTTTAAAGATTCCCAGTGCCCAGGGTAACTGGCCGCATATATAATTTTTGCTGAGATCCCCCTCCACTAGGGAAAAATATAATTATTTAAATTTATTTTTTGCCCCCGCCCCATACAACAACAACAACAACAAAATAGTGTTTCTTTTAGTGTTTTCTTTATAATTTCCCCCACGTAACTTGAAAAAATATAATGTAAATGAGTCAATCATCTTTTTTTTTTTATTCGGGTTCTATAAAATGCTGTTTAATTGTTGAAAATCTGTCCAGCGAATGAGAAATGTAAATACTGATTCATTATTATACCATTCTGTCCAAGAAAACAAAAAGATGACTGAAACTAATTGTGAATGCTGGCTAGCTAGGAAATGCACCAGCTTCCCAGGGGATTTAAGTTATTTGTGGATAAAAACGATTATTGTTTAGAATTGGATGACATTACCTATAGTTATAGAGTAGTTGGAGAAGAAATAGAAACCTAAATGGAAGACTTTTACCACCGCCAGTTGGCTTGGTGGATTTATGTAGTGATTGTGTAAATGGCAATGAAGAAAATAAATTGAGAACATAATAATCTATTAAAGCAGAGTATACAAACAGAGAAATATTTATTAACCGTTAAAAACCGCATACTACGAACAAATATCTGCCGATTTAGAATAAGTTCACATAACTAGCTACCGATAGAAACTGGAAGACATAGACGTCCGGAAAATTTACCTTCACCTTAAGAACTTGTAATGACTGTAAATTGGGAAGGCTTGGGGATGAACTTCATACCATGAAGGATTGTACTCAATAAATATAAGGCTGAAAGGGGGTATTTCTCAATAACATAGCTGAAATATCTGGACAGTTTAAAGATCTTAGCGATGAAGAGAAAGTTGTAAGCATTATGAAACTTGACAGTGAAAATATAATTGATCACTCCTGTACGTATTACAATCATGAATACTCGAGGGGAATTTTAACATTCCACTTTTTTTTATATATTAAGAAAAAAATTGTTTAAAACATCAATTAGGAAATTATCATTCCCATTTGGTTTGTATCTTTATTGTCAAACGTAGGCTAGTACGTGTCATATAATTATTTGTTATAATATCATTTACCAAATTAAGCTAAACAGTTTCTCGTTAATTTGTGATTACTCGAGAAACTATACCATTTGTTGATTTTCTTGTTTATATCATTGTTTTATATATATGTATTGTAAACAAAATTGTTCATGTATATGAGTGGAGTTTACTGATAAAATTCAAAACATTCAAATTCAAACATGGCAGCTAGTGGAGAAGAGTTGAACGAGTGCTAGAGGAGGCATTTTCAGCACTTCTTCG